ACAAAGCTCGCACGGTGACACTTGGGCTGATTGGTCATGGGCGAATCAACCAGTTGGACCTTCTTACACCAAGAATTTTTCTCTTGTTTTTTGAAGGTGGCCTGTAAGTTACTACACTGAGCAGAGCGTCTACTACCACACGATAATGGGTCACCATTAAAAACAAATATTCAAACAAGTTTTTTCATTTGAATAAAATGCTTAATTAAAAGGCTATTATAACTGAAGTTGTCATTACTTTCAACAATCCTCCCCTACATTTGTTTCATTGATGAGTGACACATAGGACGGCAGTGAGGTCACAGACGGCATGTCATGTTGTCACGTTCCATCTACATGCGCAACAACAGAACCAAGCCAGCTCACCTTGGCTGAGGGCTGGGTGTCTGGTTGAGGAGCATCTGGCTGGGGTCTTTGGTGTTGGTGTTACTTGAATTCCCTGATTGGCTGAACACAGCTGGCTTTGTCACCTGTGACCTTCTTGATATACCCTTTACAGAAATTAAAATACTAGGTGCTAGTCCAAAGGCAGCACGGAATGTGGCAAAATACATTTCTTTGAAATTGAACTTATGCTTTAAAGGCAAACTATATCTTTTAAACGAAAGGGTATACAACCGGGAACTCAGAAAAAAAAGTGTGATTATTGGCGACAGTTTTAGCAAATGGTTCCATCAAGATGAGTTTTCTAATTGAGGCCCACATGTGCAGTAGTTTCTGTAACCCAATGTGTTTGCTCACATGAAAAAAACTGGTGCTGTACCAGACTGAACGCCTAGATAGACAGGGCACTAGTGGCATGTAAAATGGCCAGAATGTATGCTCTAGAATACAAAGGGGGTCTGTGTCTATGAAGTTTTTAAGCTATAATATACATGTAGAAAACACAGAGCCAGACTATTTTCTTCCTTTAATACATATGAGCTTAGCTACCTCCAACACAGATGGATTTTCACATTTTTTGTGGGGGGAGGCAAATTTTGTAAAATTCTGAACCACTTTCCGTTTATTAATTTCACCCACCAATCAGAAAATGAAGCACATACCCTCTTCTGTGGTGCCCTGATATCGACTGCCTGACTGTCCAACACAGTAGGGGACGGCGTGATGTACGTTGTGGTCATGGTCTCTGCAGGGCTTGGTGTGTCAACAGGCAGCACTCCAAAACTGATTGTTAACAAGCACACAGGAAATCATTCAACAGCAAACATTTTAGACTGCCATGCATGAATCCGATTACATACCCAAAGCCATTTGAAGAGCCCCCTCCTACTATATGCACATGCCTCCGCACTTCTGTTGAGCATCTCACCTGGGCGTGAGCGGGCTAGCAGAGACAGGACCTCCCAGGAGGTTCCGGCCCACTCGCGGCCTAGTCCTCTGCAACCGCGAAGAGCTGATGGCAGTGGCAGGAGCCGCTGGGGGTAGCAGGAGCGCCAGACCTGCCTCTGCCGGCGTGTGATAGAGGTCGCCTTGCTGCTGGTCTGGCGTGAAGAAGTTGGAGAGTGGCTTGATGCCCGAGAGCTGTAAGGTGATGTTAGAGTTGTCCTGAAAAAAAAGGGGGTGCCACTGAAGTGAAAAGGAGCAATTGGACAAACCATTCCCACAAAATGTCCATGTCTCTGATGCACAGAAACCCAATTTCAAGGAGGTTGGTGCATGCAGAGAGGGCAAAGGACTCTGATGCATCATACATAAATACATTTTGTCTGATGTCATATATGCAAAAAGTACACGCACAAGTACCAGGCAAAATTCACTTATGTTGAAGTCAAACCACATGTAAAACAGTTTTGGAGCTTCACGGCTGCTGGCCGTCAAAGCTCCACTGCACCACTTGTGCAATATCCAATGAGGTTTGGTACCCAGACATAAGGGTATTTTACAGTTTATTTGTGTACGCATTTTCCCTTGTGTGGAAAGGTGCCCTGCTAAATGTACAACATGCGGAATACATGCAAGTTTTTAAATGTACATGTAAGTAACAAAGTAAAAAATCATTATACACCACATAGCTGTTTACTTTTTACCACTTTTATAAGTTTTTGTGAAGAGGAAAACAACAAATCAATGGCATATTTGCTGACTGCTCGTCTTGGCCACAAAAAATGGACACTTTTGTTTCAAGACAAGATACTGTCAGTGACAACAACTACTTTAGCTTCATTTTTTTCATATCAGCACTTTTGATATATAGATTGCAATGTCAAAGTGATATCGTTCATATCGATATCAAAGCAAAATTGATATATCGAATATTATCAATGTATCAACAGACTTTAACCAACACTGCTTCTGTTGGAATTTGTTATAATTTATTTACATGAAACTCCAGTGGGGCAAATAAGACTACATCACGTATTGTTGTATAATGCAAACCTTTCTGTTGCCTGTTGCCTTCTGCACTGAGCTCACCTGTGGCGTTTCTACCGTCAAGGGTGAGTCCAAGGTGGGAGTTTGCTGGTGGTTGACTGACATGTTCTCGGTATCGATGATGGGATACAGGTCTTGCTGTGTTGTGGCTACATCAGGGTCCGGCGCCATCTGGAAAACTTTGCTGGGGTCTGGCTTCTCGCCTGCCCAAATAAAAAGCCAGTGAGGTGTTTCACGCTCAAATTCAAAATGTCAAAGACTGGATATGTTTTGATGGTCTTTACAGGAACATTTTGACAACTTACCGAGATTGCAGAGGTCTGCAAAGGATGACCAGAGGAACGGGTTCAATTTGAGACTTTGCCTGAGTGACTCTGATGACCGTGCCTTCCTCTCTGTTTTACTGTTGTGTGTCAAAAGAAAACTACGTTAAATAAGTCTCCACGACCAATTTTCATCAGAATGAGCACAAAAATGGTATATGGCAATTGGGTGTGGTGTACAAGGTGAGGATAATATTCATGTGTGTCATAAACTGCCGTTTATGGGGGCACTTGTATGTGCACATCATACCAACTGAAGTACAAACACGTAGGTCGAGTCAACACTATAAATTAGTCCCTGCACTGCAGATTTGTCTCAGGGATATAACCCACCTGCATATTCTTGCCAGGAGTGCCAGTGCAAAGGAGGCCGAGTCAGCAAACTCTGTCTTAATCTCCTCGCAGGAGTGGGGCTTGAGTACGGCATTGCCCACCAGGGCTGCTTCTCCCTCTGCCAGCCTGATAGAGGAGGGAGGGGTTGGGAGACAGCAGGAGGGAGGAAGGAGGTTGGAAACCAAAATGGGATCAGAGAGGACTGACATTTTCAAAATTTCTACCATCCCATACAAGTGTGTTTAACCAGCAGTCAGTCCACAGTTTGGAGCAGTGCTAATATTGTAGCAGAACTCATTCAATGTCATTTGTACAATCAAATGATGAATAAAATTTGGATGCTGTGAACCATTCTAGAGCAACTAAAACATTCAAGCATTATGACTAACGACTGAGGGAACCCATGTACCTGATCTACAAAGGTGTCAAAATGTCATATTGTTTTCACAATTTATAAAAACACACACAATGCACTAGAGGGCTCAGTAGGGATAGTCAGTGGGCCTTACTTGTCTAGATCAAGGCAACATCGTGCCATGAGGTAACGGCACTGTGGGGTAGGGCATCCTTTCATCTGCAGCAGCGAGTAAGCCCTGTTGCTCTTGCCGGCACGGTAGTAGCATGTGGCAAGAAGGAACAGTGCCTCATCAGATCCCACTGAGGGAAAGGAAGACAAAACAACTATCAGCAATTAATTTGACGACCATGGGCATACTGTATCGTAAAATATGTGAATTCGCCACCATCAAACATGTTGAGGTCAACAAGACGCAGTTGCTACGACGATCTGAATGCCTGCAGCTGCTCGACCGTTCTCCCTGCAAAACATCATTCTTCGTTTCACATTTCGTTTACCTGAAGCCTCGGGACTCTTACTGCCGTTACCACTGAGATACAGGACGACCTTCAGTTGAATACATTGTATATACTTGAAACAGTTCAAATGTCTACCAAATTATTATAGAAAGTGGGCACCACTCCATCTGGTTGACATTTTAAATATTTTGCAATGGTTTTTAACTAACATGATATGCATATTTAAAGTACAGTTTTGTTTTCTAAATTTTATATTAGCTTTTATCTAGATTTGCTTGAAATATTGTAATTTGCAAAAGATAAAGCAAAAACCAATCACTAAATGTTCTAGTCCAAACTATTTAGTCCATCACATTTTTTTACAATTTTACAAAATTTAATTAAGTAAAACTTCTTTCATGAGCCTACCTTCTGCATAGAGTCGTTCTGCTAAGAAGATTGCATCAGAGTATGCGTAATGATTTAAACACTGCCATATTGCAGCCTGTTGGAAAATTGACAAAATGAAAGGCATGCACTATTTAAACTCAAGTGACCAACTTGAATCCACTGAAACACAGCAAAATTGCGATTTGCCAGAAACTGTAGGGGCAAAATCAGAATTGTGAAAAACAGAGTGAAAAAGCAGAAATTTTCGGCCAAAATCAGGAGGGTTGGGAGGTCTGCAGATGGCTAAATAGGCCACAGGGAAAAATTACTGGCTGCATATGGAATTATTTTCTCTCTTGAAAAAACACTTGGAAATGCCTGCTGATTAACGGCAATCCCTCCTGTTCTAAATGGGAAAACAACAGGGATGGGCCTATGCTTTTGTGACCAGTTGACATAATGTAAGCGTTATCACTAATCCACATGGTTGATTTTGCACAATGGTGGAAAGGCATTGTGGGAGTATGGAACTTTTACAGACTTTCCTTTTCAGATCATAATTGTGAAGTTTCATTCGTTAGTTGACAGCAACTTATGTCTGAACTATCCAAGGACCTAGCTACCTGGCATGCCCCTGACCTCTCCTTATTGGGACAATACAGACACCACTCATTTTCCCTTGCAGAGGTTTGCCATCACCAACGATCACATCAGAATTCATAAAAGTGACATCAACCATGCCATAAAATTTAGCCATGTTAATGGTGTCGGTCATGCTCAAGGTTGGGTTGACGTTAATGATTCTTGATTATTTTCTCTGATTGGTAAACTGATGGCTATGCCATATTTCACACTCACAAAACTCAAAGGGGCAATAGTGTTGCAGTCTATCATTCTATGGCGAATATTGCCTGAAATCTTAACCTTTACATCAAATGTGCCTGACATATGACTATTTATGTGCTATAAACATCTCCCACATTGTAATGAAAATGTTTCAGGTGTTTTTATCATATTGCTGCAAAAATAGAGGAATACATGCGAAGCCCTGTAGAAAGTGAATGGAGAAGCCACCCTTTTGCCCAGAGGTCGAGTGCAATAAATGTAAAAACTTCCGACCTCGAGAATGCAGGTGAAAATATTCAGACTAGGCCTAGTCTCGTACTGGGTTTAAGTAGAGGGTGTCAAGTGATGTCCGTGTATGGAACTCCTTCCCATTTTAATGAAGAAATTGTTTGAATGATTTATAACAGACGCCTCCATTATAATCATCACTTGCCTTCTCCGCATGCCGGATAGGCCAACGCATATGCACGATCTAACGTTAACGGTGGTTTACATGGTTAACGTTATTCTTAAAGAGTTAACAATTAAATAGACTTCAGACAACAATATGCACTGATTTACCTGCACTGGTTCTTGAATAACCATGATATGTAGAATGAGTTCAAGATTCGAGGTAAACAACACAGAAACTTCCAACTTAATTGAAAATCTTTCCTCGGAAAATTTTTCAGCTGTCCGCCATTTTGAACCTCGTTTTCATGCTTCGAATTTTCACCTTACAAACGAATGATTTCATTGGTCGATCTTTCGATCCGTTTGTGAACATTCTTTCGATTGGTTAAACTTTGGTACCATGGAACTGCGCGGGATGGACAAGTACTTGAAGTAGGTCCCGAATCCGAGTTAAAGTTCTAAAGTTGGCTTAGAGATTTTTCTTATTCAATAGTTCACAAGAAAAAAAAGGCTGTAACTCTTAATGATTTTTTAAGTCTTTTTTAAAATGATCGCATTATAAAACCGCCGAATACTGCTATTTGTAAAGTAGTTTTGCGGTCGCATAGGCATACGTCTTCTTTTTAGGCCACGGCTTACCGCGTGAGTTACCTATTCTTGTCCTGTGATAAAACTTTAAACCAATCTTCTTCCTCCATGTCGTCTGTTTTTCCGCTAGGCCGATTTGTTGGTATCAAAGTACCCTGCTGTGGTCTCCACATAAGGTCCTGAGTCTGATGCTAACACACGCATAGCATGTGGTTGAAATTCTATTTTCATTTATGTTTTGATTTTAACATGTTAAATGTTAGTGGTTTCAGTTTTTAGGGGTAACCATGATTTAACACTAACAGTTTGAGTTTGGATTCCTTAAAAATGTTTTATGGTTATTGGTTAGTATTTTCATGTACATGTTTTTGGGCCTTAGAATGATTTTGATTTGTGTGTGTGTGTGTTTGTGCTTAATACATACTGTGGATAGTGCATTTGTGAAGCTAGAAATAACACTTGAAGGTATTTATTCATTTAGCTAATGATATTTTGCAATTGTACATGTATTTAAAGAAATGATAAAGTACATGACATAGAAATGTGACGTTGAAATATTGAATGTTTTTATCCAGTTTTGAAAGTTTAGCTTCAGCTATCTGCAAAATTAATTACCAAATACATTTCATCCAAATTTTGATCTGATTGATTTTTTCCTCTGACAAGTATTAATATTCAGTAGATATATATATATATATTTTGGTTCCACATGAGTTAAAATATGAGCCAAATTGTAGGCTACAGTCAAACTAACATCCCTTATCCAGTGATCAATCTTGGTTCTATTAGTACATTTCTTTGGCATGTGTGAGCACTTGATAGAAAACAGATGTTTTACACACACCACGTTATACTGCATGTATTTCTGCCATGGTTTGTGTAGACAAGTCTGTGCAAGTCTGTCAGCTAGGACCATGCATTTAGTCTGAATTTAGTTACATTATGGTGATGCAAAAATAATCTCATCACTACGTGTACTTTATGTACTGCTTCATTCTGACTTCTGACTAATGTGCATTTGATTCCTTATAGACTTCAAACATATTTGGTGTTGCAGGTACATGTTCATGCTGGGAGTGTTTCATCTTGTTCTTGCAGATGCAGAGCATAATCTGGTCTTTTCTGGAGTCACATCAAATGCCAGTGATGAGAAAATGCCAAGCTTCCTCCCAAGGAGATCTGTAAGTTGTCAAGAAGTTTCATAATCACTTTGATATTATTTATTTTCGTTCCCAAAGCAGTGACAGAACTACTGGCTATATGGGCACGGATGAGCAGAATGCTGAAAATTTCTGTTGCTTGTGCCCAAGATTGCACACATTCAGATGAAAATTGGCTGAATAGTCTTCTCAGATATCAACGTGCTCCACAAAGCCGTGGAGTTGAAATTTCGTCCAAAAGATTTTAAATCTTTGTTGATGTTGCCCCATAGAAACTGGAAACTTATGCAGGTGTAAGGAAAGTTAACGATGAGACTTTTTGAAGGAAGAAAACTGTTTTACTGATGTTGTTACCACTTACGAGGAGCCTTGCATGGGGATATTAACTTATCATTACAAGTACAAACAATCAAAGAGATAAAAAAATTAAATAACAAACACGTATGCTGTAAATGTGTGTACTTTTTCTTATGATAGTGTTTATGGCTTGTCTCGTTTCTCATCCTGGTCAGACCATCCACACGTTGCTGCTCATGTCCCTCCTATACTCGTTGATCCTGTTGGTGGCATACCTTTCCTTTGTCCTGAGGTCTCACTCCCTCAGTCAGTCCATCTGGTCATCACAGCGGGCCACGCCCCTCCCGGAAGAGCTTTCTAGGGCCCGAGAAATGCTGGACGCATTGAGGACTTCGGCAGATCGGAGAAGGTTGCCAACAGGCCAGCAGTACTCCTACAGCAAGGTCCACTGGGGATATCATGGTGTCCTGGATGAGAAGGTATGGAGATGAATTAAGAACAAGTGCGGTGGGGTTTATTTAGAGGTTGGGGGGTCAAACACCGTGGCCAAGGTAGGAGGCTTCAGCAGAGTAGAGATACAAAAACAACAAAAGCTAACCAAATATGAACTGCTTGTAATACCACAAAGATAGAGGACTTAGTTACCTGTAGCAAAAGAAGTATTAGAATCATAAAGAGGAAAAGGCTTTCCTGACAAACAGTTTTAAAATAATGAATAGCTACTTCCTTATCTCAGATTCAGGGGGGAATATGGGAATAATAGGAAGAAACAACAGCACTGCAGTATGCCCCACTCAAGACAGTCAGAGGTTAAGGTGCCAGTGTGGCCCAAAAAACACCGTTAATTTCCATCGGAATGTGCACAAACTTCTCTTCCCAAATAAATGCACCTGAACATGGCACATGGCAAGGCCAATGCTGAAATGTTCAAATCTTGAATTGTTTTCATGGTTTTACATGATGTATTATGAATCTGTAAATCCTCTCAGTGCCAGAGGTCGTTTTGGGCACTAGACTGTACAGGAAGCAACGGGTAAGGTAGTTCGGCGGTAGTACAGGGGCTAGTGGCTCTGGGAAGTGTCTCAAAAGTTGGAATATTCTACCCAAAAACTGCTTCCCCTATTGGGGAGAATAGATTGTTTCAGCTGGGAAGAGCTTGGTACACCAGGAATAAAAGAGACATATTCGCCTATGCATGCATGTGTGAGAAGGAACGTTGCAAAGTACCCGTAACTTTTTTTATCTTTTTGCCTCAGAGCAAACAGGTTTGACCCCAATCAGAAATCAAAATGATTGACTCCGGTGAATGAGGCAATGCACAGCCAAAAGGAATTTAGCCAGACTGCCTCGAGTCACTTTTGTTTGGTGGTTGCATCGTTTGTCCACAGTTGCTCCAAATGCAGTGCTCTAAGTGTGCTGTGGTGTCGAGCTCCGGCCACCTCATCAACAGCAGCGCCGGACTGGAGATTGACGCCACTCCCTGCGTCTTCCGCATGAATAATGCCCCAGTGACTGGCTATGAGGTGGATGTCGGGTCGCGCACAACAGTGCGATCGATCGGTCATGTCAATTTGAAGAAATCTTTTGAGGATGACGAAGGTTGGTGGCAAACCACCAGAGACCTACACTGTTAATCTTGATTTCATACCCGCCTGAGTTTAAATGCAGTGAGCAGTTCATTCTGATGATAAAAAGTGACTTTTGTACGGAAATCCGATTTACTGAAGTCTCAGGTGATGTTTGGCAAGACATATCCCGAATACTGTTGTCAAACTAACAAGATTCTCTTAAAAATGTTAATTTCTGCTTCAATATTGCTGTCATTTTCGTCAACTTCAACTGTGCAGAAGAAAGTCATTCAGGCAAATTTCTTCCCAGCAATTGTGACTTTTGTATAACCTAAAGCCACATATTCATCTTGATCCGAACACAATAAAGTGATTGAGTAAATAACAAATTGTTGATCTGTCTGTACTTAATTGAATACTCAAACTGGCAAAACACTTTGACAAATCCAATTGATGATCAAATATTTAAATAGTTCAGTGTATTTGAGACAGCAATAAACCCACAGTGGTGTCTGTGGATAATTCCAATTTGTTTGATTACCTGTTACAATTAGGTGCATGTTGGGAGATGCTCTTGGACAATCGTACCAGAGCCTCTGTCATCCTCATCAACTGGATGTCCACAACCAAAGTCAAGAAGATGGTCTCTGGGGAGTATCGCTATGCTGTCCTCTTAGCTCACCTCTTCCCAGATGTCAAGTTCTACTCCTTCACGCGGGACAAGATGATCTCCTCAGAAGCTCTGTTCAAGAACTACACTGGGCTGTCGCGGTGAGGATTTCTGTGGTGACCTCATCGTCACCCAGAGTGCCATTACTGCTACCACCCTCATCCCCCATCACCACTAATCACTTTCACCACTTCCACACCCTACCGTCATCATCCTATCACCACCATCACCAATATCACCACCGTTCTAACTACCAGCACCATTTTTATCCTTGTATTTCCATTCAGTCAGGAAGCCCAGACCTGGTTGTCTACCGGATGGTATACCTTAATAGCAGCGATGGATATCTGTAAAGACATTGTGGTGTATGGAATGGCCGATGAGAAATACTGCAATGGTTCCATGTAAGACCTCCCAAACAACAAGAAGTAGAATAAAATAAGAAAACAAATTGAGAAGAAATTTCAAAATTTTTCTCTGTGCATTCTCTGCATCTCACAAATGCAGTGACAGAAGTTCCTCATTCGTCCCAAAATATCATGTTGTTGGAGCATGAGATCCATTTATGCACTGAATATTGTCAGTTCCAGATTCCAGCTCTGCATCATGTATTTGGTTGTAAGAAGCATTCTGTTGATGTAGGCTGGTACTCTCACCTGCCTTTTTCGTTTCATCCACCGGTTACACCTTCCAATGCAGGAAGAATGCACAACGTATTCCTTACCACTACTATGAGCCCAACAAGCTCAGGGAGTGCTCCTACTACAACAAGAGCGAGATCAGACTGACTGGGGGCCACCTGTTTATCACAGAGAAGGCTGTCTTTGCCCGCTTGGCGGCCAAGCGCCACATCAAGTTCAAGCACCCGTCCTGGCCCAGAAGGGACTTTGGCACAGCCGTGACCCTGGACACGCCCTTCCTTCAGCGCTACCGGCAGAAGCGGCAGAAGAAAGGGAGGCAACGGCGTAGGCGCCCAGTTCCACCTGACAATTGGACCAATGCCGTCCAGCTACGAGTAGGCAACCAGACCATCATTGTGCCCAAGGAGAAGCTGCTGGATCCCATAGTGGGCCTCATGCCAGACTCCAAGGTGCTCCCTGGGCCAGGGAATGAAACCAACCTCAGAGTCAACATCACCAGAAGTGGAGATGACAGCTTGTGAATTGGATGACCTGTGCAGTACAACTGCAGTAGATGAAATGCTGGCCGACTGCTTCAAGTGGTACAGTAAATCAAGCCTCCTGAGACGATCTGTTGAGTGTTTGTCCCTCAGTTACATATATATGTTTATATATTTATGATTGACAGTTTTTACATATTTGAATGATATTTAAAGGATTTCAATTTTTATCTGAATGCCAACTGATCGTTTCCATTTAGGATTTCATTTCCCACTCAATTTCCTGTGTATTAGCATTTAGTAATGCAATTTACATGCTAACACTAAGGTGTGGTCACCAAAGTTTAATCCCAAAACCTTACAAACACTGAGCTAACAAATCTTGCCAATGAACTAAATGCCTTTTCCTCAAGTTTTTGTAAAGTTTCTGGTGCCTTTGTTTTGATAGTGTTAATTCCTAGTCTTTATTTTTTAGAAAATGTACATTTTATTTATATGAAGTATGAAGCACTTTTCAGCACAATACCAAACACGTCATTCAAAAGATAAAATGTATTCACTGATTCAATGCAATTTTGATACATGTACATATGTTTAAACTATAAAAACAGCTTTTTAAATTAAAGTACATGTATTTGAGTTTATTTGAAAGTTTGTGTTGAATGGTAATAGCCAAAAAAATTGCCTTTGACTGGAGCAACGTGGAAATAAAGATCAGGAGCACAAGAACTATCATTTTCTATTGAGAAACAATTCTCCAGTTTTAATTCTCTGCCAAGTTTACCTACTCATTTACAAAATGCAATCAGTCTACATTTGTTAAAAGTGACCATTTCTTACATCAGAAATCCACGTGAAACAATGCATTTAGCACATGCATAATGCAAACATCAAGAAAAGCCCGTTACAACTAAATGAGGGAAAATTTCATTCGTGGCTTTCATTCCTCAAGTCTTACCATTTTACATTTGTTGATTTTTTTTTTTTTTTTACATTACGATGCCAACAAATTGTTAAATACAGGACAGGACAAACGGAATGGTGAAGATTCGAGGTGGAAACACTTAACCATTAATAAAATCTGTGTGGCCAGTGAACTCCAAACAAGCTACAGCACGCTGTTGGCAACTTCAATTGACTGTCAGGGTAGTTCAGCCAAGGTATTTAAAAACGTTTGTCAAAATGACCAAATGGACATGTGAACTCAAGGAGCAAACATTACAGCTTCACTTTCTGTAACAAAATTTATCACTGACATCAAATATATTGTAATGGCAGAGAATGCAACTTCGTGAAGTCTGAGATGAATTGCCTGGACAGTTAGCCGACATGAACAACACAATGAAGGCTTTCGAAAATCAGTAGGAGTTAGGATTGTCACAAAAACTTGCACACGTCACTGATAAGAAGCAAACATTAAGTAGAAAGCAAACAAGGACAGCTGCACAACAAATACTGCACCCATGCATGCTAGAATAGAATACAACAAAACACTAGGACCCTAAAGGACTGGGACTTTAGTCAGATACTCTGGGCCACGTAATAAATAGTCCTATCCAGTACATTTTAGCCATTTCAAATCTTACTCAGTACACTAGGTGCCACACAACTACACGGCTCATGCAAAAGACGAGAAAGGGACATGAATGTACACCACTGGAATAATAAAATACTTAATGTATGTATATACAGGAGGTGGAAAAATGGTGAAATGCTTTCGAAGTTTTACAAGGCCCTTTTTAATACATGGTCCTAACAGTAACTGCTGAGAGACGAAACTTTGTAGAGGGTGGAATTTTGCTTTCGTGTATTTTTCCTAATTTCTTGCCTATTCCTATGAGGGTTAAAATTCCAATCATTTTTCGAGGAGGGGGTTTCCATCTTGATACCAACACGCTCCTTAAGCATTATATACTCGATGTGACCCATGGGGGTACAAATGACAGTATGTACATATCATCTACACTTTCAGTAAAAATATCCACTTCGCAACTTGAAACGTTCGTAGCATTTAATCGGGTAAACACCTGTAAGCGTGCAACTTGTAATTCAGAAACAGAGAAGAAGTTGAAAGCTGCACTGGGCTTTCTGCAGAGTTTTTCAATTTGTATAGGTTTGCGTGGGAAGTTAAAAAAACTAGGGGATCAGGAAGATGTTGATCTCAATAACATGCCTAGATCTGTTGAAACTGGAAACATTTGGAGTTTTCATTGTGAGAATAGCCAGGGATGGTGGGAAGGCTGGTCTGTGTTGTGGTAAGTGGTCGACTGAGGGGACAACAAATGATGAATTCCAAACCAAAACTGGAAGACCACTTTAATATCGGTTTGTGATCAGCGCGGAGCTCCCCCCCCCCAAAAAAAACCAAAATTCCTCCGCTGCTGTGCTCCGGCAGAGGAGCTTTTCAAAAGTCGTCGTCGTCATCCGAGTCGTCGCCAAAGTTGTACTTGACGGCCGGCCTGACTCGTCCCCCTGCGCGGCCGGTAAGCTTCGGGGCCGGGACCTCCACAGTGTCCGTCTCGTCAACGTCGAAGGCATCGTCATCCTCCGAGTCAGAGAAATCAATTTTCCTCTTTTTGGGCTGCAGGAAATGAAACCAAATCTCAATGAATCTTTGGTAACGCTAATTTCAGGACAATATGGAAGAACTGCAACCTATGGTAGTTATTCTTATCACAAGTCAATAGTTTGGGACTTTTTTTAACTTCCAAAAGTTTTGAAGTAATGTGAAACTCTTTTTTGCTACAAAGGTCAGATAAATACGCCCTGTGGAGCTAAAAATGAGCAAACAATTCTAACAGAAGAGGCTCACACTGTCCAAGACTGGTCTTCACCTCAAGCCTGCTTATAGTTTGGTTTACATGGCAGTATGGAGAGCCTGAAGCTATGGATGATACCTACCTTAGCTGCAGCCTTTTTGGTGGATGTTTTCTTGGCAGCTGGCTTCTTGGGTTTGAAGTCTGAGGAGTCATCGTCAGAGGTAGTCTTAGACTTCTTGGCAGCTGGCTTCCTTGGTTTGGGAGCCGCTGTCAAAATTTAACAGCCATTTAAAAGAGGAGTTAGGATCTGCTGCAAAATGTGACACAAAGTCTTTTTTCCTAGTCACAACTGATCACCAAGACGTGTGATATCAAGTTCAGTGAATGTCACGTGCTGGCAGACTACTAAAGAACAAACAGCACTATAATCAACATTTATCATTAGCGCCTTGATTCAAGACCAGTGTTGTATTTGAGTCCATCACAAGCTCCCTGCAAGTCCCTGTAAGTCCATCACAAGTCTATCACAGGTCATTCAGTCCTAGGCCAATTCACAAGTTATTCAATTGAGATGTGACAAAAGCATTCTTTTGTCATTGTTCGCCCTTTGCCAGGAGCAAAGTGAGTACCTTTCGCCTTGGCAGGCTTCTTGGTGGCAGCATCTTGGCTGTCGTCATCATTGCTGCTCTTCTTGGACTTGGAGGGCTTGTTGATCAGCTCTAGGAGGGTCTTCTGCTTGGAGGCTGTGAGCAAGGACACAGAGGGGAGATGTGTAAAAGCCAACACAGGCTGTGGTATTCCGACTGTGTCAATAACATGACACAGTCTTCCACATGGCTATGTGTACTGGAACTGGGTACCGGAGTGGCTTCCAAGTTACAAAATGGGTATTCCCCAATCAAGTGTACAGATTACATAGTAACTCTTGAAGATGAACAAAATAACAGGTTTTAAGATTTTTTGTGGGGAAAAGGGTTCAAGGCTAAGTGGAATGCTCAGATTCCACGCTTAAGTCCAAGCATTGTTTATGAACATTTGAGGTCAGACAAGACTGGCAACATGAATGCATTTTTCATGCATGCGTTTTCTTTTGAAAAATCATGAGTAAGGCTCCTCAACTTTCCTCTTGACCTTGTCAAGCAAACCGATTTTATTCAAATTCAACTGACAAATTTTCCTCGCATGAGTCTTGTTCTTTCACCTTTTGGTTTAGCTGCAGGTTTCTTGGCTGGTGGAGAGACTTTGGCCTGCTTTGGCGGTGACAATCCACTCTCCGATTCATCCCCAGAGCTCAACACCACTGGGCCTGTTGACAAGCAACACAAAAATACTAAAAATCAGGTAAAGTAATCAGTGTTCTGAAAACAATGCTCTCTTAAAAATGGCTTTCCAAAGTAATTTGAAATATAAGGACCGCACTGATAATATGCACTGTAACGCATGCAAAGGGCACAAAGAAGATGACAGGTTGAGGTGAACAGTGTCCACTTCTGAAACTGAAATCTCATTTACCTTCTCTTATTTCACAGCCAGAACCTCAGAAAATAAGCCAAAATTTCATCTTCTCAATCTCATTACTGTAACTGGTACACACCTGTCTCAGAGATGCCAACTTTTCAAAATGAAAAAGTGTAATCCTGTCGCACGATATCAAATTACCCATTATACATTTCAACAGAAAGACATTCAAACCCTGTGAGTTGAATTTATTGTAATAAAAGCTGCCTTTTAATGCGTTTTTCTTTTTCACATGGTTCTCGATATCGTAAGAATAGGGCAATATTTATGACAGTTACACATATCACAAAAAACGTAACCTTCTCCGCGTCAACACATGGCAATTACGACCCTTTTTTGGTGTACTTGTGAAACGATGACGATGTACATGTATAATACACGAACGTATGTACACAATCCCGTTGTCTATGAAGTGCAAATCGTGCCTATTCACCCCCAGTTCATCATGGCCCTAATTGGGGCAAGCAGGTGGTTTGACCTCGTCGGTTTCCAATGCTACTCACACACACTCTACGTACAAACTGTGGAATGCCAGTGACATATTTCTGATGTGGGCATTACAAGGCCTGCTCCAGGCTAGATTACATGGAGTTTTATACACAACTGTATGGCTTTGCACCATGGAGTTGGAAATTGTAAAAATCAGACTGAACAACTCGTAAAAATTCCACCTAAATCATACAAGTTGGCATCTCTGCTATCTACAATCCCAGATGCTGCACAGCTTTGCTCTGAGTCTGACTAGAGTTCTTATCTAGTCAATCAAAGATCAAATCACAAATCAAAAGTCAGGTCACAGGGAACAATGAACACGAGAGCACTTCTCACTAGACTTTGAGATGGAACAACTCATTGGCAAACGTGATTTCAAGCGTTCCCCACCTTTCGCTTTGGGCTCTCCGACATCCATCGCCGCATCATCGCTCTCACTGTCACTGACCAGCTTGGGCGCCGCTCTCTTGACCGGCCTCTTGACAGGGGAGGAGGAGAAACCGTCTTTATCTTCTTTGTTGTTGTCGTCGCTCACATCATCCAGGTTGAAAGTAGGAGAGACTCTTGGAGATGCATCATTATCATCATCACCATCTTCGTCGTCGCTGAAAGAGTACTTGGCTTTCTGAGCTGTAGTTTAGTGCAGATAAATGGAGAAGCAAACTCCGATAACATTTCAGGACACAGTAAATGCCAACAACAATTTGAAAGTAAAACAGAAATCAAAACTTGATTCTAAAATAGGTGTGCAAGTGGGTAGTCAGAAAAAAAATGAAGAAATTCAAAATTGTACAAGCGTTGCCACGGCATTGTTGGATTTTTAATACGAAAGATACAAGTCCCAAAACACCCCAGAATACCGGCCGATTCCATGCCTGCTTGGAGAGCATTTCTCTCATCCTCACAAAGCTGTCCAATCAACGATTGTTTTCAGTGAGGTTTGGAGTAGGTTTCTTTATAAAGACGGGCACACTTCAAACATTATACATCAAAGTTGCTCTCAACGTGATTTACTGACTGGTCCGTGCATGAGCGTACGGTCAGTAGGAGAAATCAACACCGTTCAGAACCACCGATTTAATTCATATTTTGAGAAAACGCATCCAATTTTCATGCGATTGTTGGAACATCAATCGGTGTTGGAACATCCACAAAACATCAGCAGAAAAACTAGTTTTGGCACATGCGCCTTCAATAGGGAACTTGGTGCTTTTCAATGGGAATTTGTTGTATTCCCAGTAGGAACACACATGCATAGACCTCACAGGGATTTTCAGTGATATAACTCACGAGATGCATTATAGTGACATCAATATTACCGAATATCAAGTAGACGGATTCTTTTAGAGTTCTAATTTGCCGAGAATTGAAATGTTTGTGGCAAGAAAGGGAGTGGGACAGGACAGGAGGACAAAGGAACTTACTGGTTGCTCTTCTGGAAACGGGTTTCTGTACTTCCTCCACCGGCAGGTCCAGGTCCGAATAATTCAATGAACCGTCTAAGTCTGATTCAGAGTCAGAGTCTGAGAAGGAACTGCCCTTTTTCTTGGACGCTGCCTTCTTCTTGGCCGCTGGTTTGAAACCTAGTGTCTTCTGCTTGAGGGTCTTAGTGCTACCTGAACAAACAGGGAAAAAACAGGAGGGCTTATTGAGTTCTGGTAAAAATGGAAACACAGATTTATTTGCTGAAATAGTGTTTGAATTTGTTCAATTTGCACGCTCCTGAACATGTAGACAATAAATTTAGATAAATTAATATTCAAAAGGTTGAGAATAACTACTGGAAATGTTTTGAATCTACAAAAGCACATTTTGAGATTTTCAATCATCATGCTCTCTTACAACAGTAAGTTGTAGGTCAAAATTCAATTTAACTGAGGAAAAGCCTCAGCAACAAACTTCGCTTCTAAGATCCAACATATTTTGCGCTGGTGCATTTAACAAGCTAGTGAGTTTTAATCACTCAAGGATATAGAATCTGCTTTGGAGAGGGGAAAACAAGCCCTCCTGTTACCCAGGTGGACACTGTACATTCAACACAGCACCACAAAATAAATACCCACAAATTGGATACTTTTCTCAAGATAGTTTTATTGGAGGAGTTAACTTGAATGTTGTCTTCACAGTATCAATTTTTGTATAGCACCTACATTGCACAGTTCATTTTTAACGACACTTTCTTATAGGAAATGTGGGGATCCACTGAAAGACACTTTAATAATTTGATTTTTCCTAAAACAGCATATTGGCATATTTGTATGGCAATACTCCCCAAACGTTAGTCATTTGCTGAATTTTACAATAATCAAATCAAATGACAGTTATGATAAATTAAACAGAATTCGGAATGAGAAAAATCCATTCATGACTCTTCCTATTATTTACAAAGTTGGCCTAGCGGTTGGCGTACTGGTTCTTTCCTAGCCTCCCGCCTCAGAGGCTTAGTTTCCATTCCCAGCTTGATCCACATGTGGATTTGGTTTTCAGTCCCTACCTGATTCGGTGGGTTTTACCCAGAATATTCCTCTGGGGTTTTCCTCCCACCTCTAAAACTGTAACTGCTTCTCAATGTCTCCTCTCTCCAGATGTGGGCCGTTTGGTGGCTGCCTGCAGCTCCCTTGTATGCCTTCGACCCAAGTTGTAAATCATTGGAAAGCAGTGCTGTGCACTGATCGGAGATTACCCTCAATAAAGATGGCATAAACAAGTTTTCCCCTCAATATCCTTGTACAAGCTGAACTGCTACAGTGCAGCTCTAAAGCTTGCAATCAGAAGTTATCGGATATATCTGACATATTGCACGGCACATCCAAGAAGATGCCGAGACAGTGAGGTAATATTCCTGCTGAATAGGGGACCTTTAGCACACACAGCAAAGGAGGACTGTCCTACAGTCTGATATCTATGTTGCTGCAGCTGCAAATTTGCAACAGCTGCGTAACTGGTGTGGTTCCTCAACTCTGATTGGCAAAAAACACCTGTATTTTTGAGTTCTGAGGAATGATGACGCATCGAAATTGGATTAGAACCGAAGCAGTCACGTAAACAGCTTTTACATCTAGCAATGGTTTGTATTAATGCACATCCATCACTGACGCTATTGTCAAAAATACAGGGGGTCGCAAGGGCACACCGACAACTGTACTGGCAAAATGATTCAGCAGAATGTGATGGAAAGAAATGCTGGCTGTGAGCCGGCGGCAAGCTTGGTGCTGCCGTGCTGTAACCCCTACGGGGTACCACCATCAATGCTGTCCCAGTCTCTGGGCCCGTACCGTTCCTGGCGACCGTCTTGGTGCCCTTGGCTGCCAGGCGCTGCATTAGGGACATGGGCTCCTTCTCTGCGCTGTCGTCCAGGCTGCCCGTGTCCTCCCCGTTTTCCATCTTCTTGGTTTTCTGCGGGAAGAGGAAAAAGACACTGCAAAGGGTCTGAGTCTACAACTTGGTCACACATAGCTCCCAAGTAACAGCACGATCATAGTTCAGAGTCACAATCAAATTATGTACCTCATAACAGATCACTTTACAATTAACAGGGAATCAATGATGCTAAAGAAAACACAGTCATTTTTACACCCATCAACTGTACCACTAAGTAATGTACCTAGCAGACTTTGTGCACACAATATGTCAGTTTTTGAAATGGCACGACTGATGTATTTTTTTACTTGATACCTGTGATGAACTTATTGCTTAGGAAAGACCTGTTCTCCCTTGAGAGAATAAAATGAGAACATGTACAGTTTTAGAGGTTTTTAGAGTGTTTTCCACACTTGTAAAAAAACAAAATATAAGGTTTATATCTCTGTTCTGTCCTCTGTATCAAATAAGAAACCTGATCAATTAAAAATAAATAGGAGGGGGAAACTCCAACACATTTCCAAGATGGAATCTTTATCCCATGCAACAAATGTCAAGGAACAGAGAGAGATGCCCCACACTAACACCTTGCTTTCTACAAGATCTTTTTAAAAATTTGTCGGTCAAAGAAGCTACACTTCTCAAAAGTTTCCAATTTTCTTTAATCTGAGAGACCCCCCCGCAAAAAACAAACCAACAAACCCTCATTCCTTTGGGTAACCACTTCATTCTTATTTCTATCCTTACCATTTTGGTCCAGAAACTCAACACTTTTTGTGGGGAGAGGCAGGCCGATCTGAGTCCATGTCTGAGAAGGCCTTCAAACCTAAACCTACGTCAGCTGTCAGCATCTGCCCACAAATTCAGACCTAGACTAAGACACAAGATCTGGGCACAGCCCGACTCACCCGTGCCCTCTTGGTGGCACCGTCTCCCCCGGCTGCCCGAGAGGTCTTAGCCACGGCATCGATGCGGGGCACCACCCGGCGGCCGTAGGGGGACGGCATTGTCTCCTGCTTGGTGATCAGCTTCTTGCGAGGCTTCTTGGCTCCCTTGGTGGCAGCAGCATTGGTCACGCCCATGGCCTCGTCATCGCGCTCCTGCTGCTCAACGACCTAAACGGGAAAAGTTCACTGATGTCCATCCTCAGGATTCCATAGTCTTTCAACCATCTCACAGCTTTCATATAGAGCACCAAAGTGAATACGTCACACGCACAATTATGTGTGTAAAGGGCATTAGTGCAAGAACCAGCACGTGAACCACCATGCACGTGTACTCCATGGGCTTGCATTGCACTTCCTGGTTCAAAATGGCGTCACACTTCGGTACTCTACGTCTACAGGTGAACATGCCTCACAATACCTTCCTTTCTGAACAGTGTCTGGACATCTGAACACAAAAGCACTGCACAGTGCACATGGAGACTATCAAAAGGGGGGCCTAGAAAATCAGAATGTTGCTCTTCATATGGAATGCTCCCTAAGCGAGCACTGTGTATTTCTGTTAAAAATTCACTGCATGTCCATCTTGAAAGTGGCACTCCCAAGTAAGCTTACACATAAGGAACTACTGTCTCAGCACTGTTTATTGTTCTCAGCTGAAGGAGCAATGTTCTTCAGCACACCCATCGTTTGAGATGCTACCTTGCATGTGCCATACTTCAATGCCAAAGACAAATGACAAAGTAATTTTCCTTTGAATACACAGACACAAAGCGAAAATAATAACTGTGAAATACACAAAGGGAAGAGTTTCAAGAGGAGTGGGTCCGCCAGTAGCAGTCACTGCTCCACAGAGATTCCAGCTCACTTAATATATTCAAAGAGTCAATTGAATTTCCTGTGCCGCAGTCAATGCAACTGCAGTCTGTTTCTCTTAAATTTTTAAACATTTTAATTTTTAAGTTCAAAAAGCCATTTCCTCTCTAAGTGATCCCTGTTCACCACTTCCCACGTTGTATCTTGTAATTGGCTACATGGTGTTTCAGGTTTAATTGCTTCTGGCTAGCACCCCCAAACAGAGATATTGACAAATGGGAAGAGCCACCAACATAGGGCTGGGTAGCTCAGTCTGTAGAGAACCTGGTACGATATTCCAGAGGTCACAGGTTCAAATCCCGCTCCAGTTGATTTCTTTGTTCATCTTCATAATCATTTATAAGCGCCTAGTCAATTTCCCCATGTAGTTAGTTTCAGAATTTGTAAAAACATGATGCCTTCCAGTTAGAGAATTTTCAGTGTTACAGGCAAAACCACTGACAGTAGAAGGTTGACAAGTTCGGCCTTCAAATGTAGAAATTCTTTGAGAATTTGCATAACTTGTTTTTCATTCAAAGCCAATCAGAAAGACAAAGTGGACAACTCCATTATCTGATGGGGTTTGGACGTATGAAGTCTGCCCTTACCTCTAACTGCTGCTCAAAAGCTTCCAGGTCTTCTTTCCACAACATGGTCGGGGACTTCCTCCTGAGTTCTGCCAGCTCTTTGCACTGACAAAGAAATGATAGGAATATTGATGTTTTACAGGGTAGCTGCAATTTGTTCGAATACAAACCTTCAAAATACATCTTTGCGTCATAATTAACCTAATTTTCAACTTTTGTTTCGCTATTACCGCCTTTTTGGTTTTTATGCTAGTGAAATTTTCATATTCATGAGCTAATCTACAATGTCATCTCACAAAGAAGCCTCATTGTTACGTTGATTTGTTCACAAAAAGTCCTGCATTTCTGTAGATTTTCCAGGATTTGGGTCACTTTTCATAGCTGATCCATTGTTCTTTATGTGCATAGCAATGAGAAAGCATCAATCCCTCTCTCAGAAATGTTTTCAATTGGTATATTCTGGGTTCACAATTTGAACAGAAACACCTATGCACTGAGTCATGTCTTTCCTAGATGACTTCACAGCAACAGCGCCCTCATTTCTTCGAGAAAGCATGGATGATTTTAATGGTTTAAAAATATGCACTTTTCAGTGCATTTAGCCAAATAGGAATGTATAAGAGTTTCCATGCATTGAAGAATAAAAACGTGCAGAAAAACTGCGTCTAAGAACAATTCATTGCAGCTACACTTTAAAGTTTGTCTTGGTAAAATCGGTTTGTTTGTTAGCCAACAAGCACTAAATAGAGTCTATGTAGAATCTTTGCCAGTGTTCGCATTCAGAAAAGTGATTTCAACACACATTACCAAAATGTTTGCTTTTAAAAGCCCAATTACAATTGACTGCATGCCCACATAGCCTGTTTTGAAAACCTCACGAATTATGGGCAATTCACAATAGTGCGCCTCCAAGAGTTTCAACGTGTTGGCCAATTACAATGCTTCTTGTCAACTCTTTCCAAACGCACACTGGGTCAACAGATTTTACGCCCTGTGATTGGCCAACACGGTGCAAACTTTTGAAGGCGCACTGTTGTGAATCGCCCGTATTGTAACCACCATTAGATACAGAAAAGAACCCCACCTTATTGTCCCTGTTCTTGAGCAGGTCGTCCTTCCTCTCTCGTGTCAGGCTCCACAGGGGCATCCCCAGCAGGTAGTTGAAGTCAGGCCCAGCCGACGAGGAGGCAGTGGACACCTCACTCAGGGCGTCGTCCTCTGCCTCCGAAGGCCCGGTTACCTCCTCCTCTGCCTGCAGCTTGTTCTGGGCCTCCTTCCAGATCTTGACCGGATCCGAGTCGTAGCCCCGGTGCACCAGGGTGGAGATCATTTCTTTCTTCTTCTTGTTTTCTAGAGTTGTGCAGAGACGAGAGGGGGGTCAAATAGAGGGGGGGAGTGGGTATCAGTAACTGAAATAAATCGGCCTGGAATCCCTGACAGCAGGGCCAATCATAAGGTACTGCTTAACCACTCGCCAACAGTATTGTTCCATTTTCAAGATGTATTTTTTGCGTTGGGGAGATGTTAATTATATATAACGGTTTTGCCCTTACCCAACGTATATTAATAAGCACCGTA